TATCCTGCCCGTCATACACCTCTCTAGGTCTTATTCTTGCAGAGAAAAGATTGAACGTGACCTGACAGGACCCCAGAGAGGTTCACAAATCAAAACCTATGGTGAAGACAAATTCCTTGAGACTCACAATCTTAAGGGACAACTCAAATTACTTTTCTTTTTTTTTTTTTTTTTTTTTAATATGCTGGAGAGTAGCGGTTCCTACTGTCATATGCTATTATAACTTATTCTATTTGTAAAGAGCAAGTGTTAAGAAATTCCCACCTACTCAGTATACCATTCCTTTCCTCCAAAGAGTCAGAATCCAGAGTGTGAAGTACACTTAATTTCAGACTACCAAATACAATCTCAAGTATGGCACACTTCTGATGGAAGTTCGGTTTGTTCTCTTCCAGAAGCTTTGGTGCTACAATGCACCAAGACCTGGAAGTCAACAGCCCTATGCCAATCAGCCTCCTACAAACATTAGCATTAGAAGAGACAGTTGTAATTCCTCACCTTCATCATTCTCCACAAACTTGAGATGTGTGAACTCTGCCTAAAGACCGCTAACTGCAAGAGCACTGCCACAGATCAGTAATTAACAGTTTCAGAAACAATTTCCTCTTAGTGAATCAAAACTTTGTCAACAGCCAAAAATCTCCTCCATAAACTGTCACACAAATCCTGTCATTTAATACATTCCTAAGCAAAAACAGGGAAGGTGCACACCATCAGAAAGAATCCATTGGTCACAGAGTAATCTCCTATTGCCCTGTCGTTCTCAAACTCCATTTTAAACACCTGCAAGCCTATCTGTACAAATTATTCAGAACTTTCAAACTTCTAGTCTGAGTTTATTCACCGAAAACTTACTTTCCTCTTAGTGTTTATGGACTTGAGGTATTTGTAACCTTGTTTTAAATTAGCTTGTATTAGGGATGTGTCTTCTATAGAGTCTCCTATACACTACAAACATATATGTGAGACTTCAGAGGCTTGCTACACCGGAAATCTGGTCAGGTTTGTATTTATCAATTCAAAAGTAACTGAAAGGTATGGTGCTGAGTTTTGAGGCACTTTTAACCATGTGATTGGACAGGAAAGAACATCTTAAGAGATATTAGGCAAAAAAAAACAATCCACGAGACATGCAAGGAAATAAGGGTCTAAAGATTTTGCTTGAGAACACTCAGTGAACTAGTCAAATGATTATTTGCCAACAAAGATGCAAAATGAATCTTCAAGTTGGTTGATCTAGTGAAGCATTCACAGAGAGGTCATTCCTTACCCCATGCACAGTCTTCCTCATTGTGGCAGACCTAACAAAACCTCACTCCCACAGCAGCTTATTTAGAACTTCCTTTATATCCAAGTACTCTTGTACTGAAAATGTTCAGACTTTATAAAAATCAAGACTTTTGAAGTTTTTAATAGCAGACAACTATTGAATAATGAAGTTTCCTCTAGCCTACTCACTCATCCATCATGACAGATCCACAAGTGCATAAATATTGCTAAGTTCAGAACCATGCACCAGAGAAGTGTTTCTCCTAGCCTTTGAAGGTTAATAAGGTTATAAAAATTAAATACTGCTACAGTTTCACTAATCCTAGTAAAATAATATAAAATAATTTAAGTTTTTTTGTTTAAATAAATTAATTATAAAAAGCAAACAAGTTTATCCAATGATTCATTCTCAATTGCTTATTATTTCTGACATAAGAACACGATATTAATCTGGGGTGTGTACTGCCACGTAGTAATAGCCAAACACTGCTACTTTTTCTGCAAAATCTTTTCAAGCTCTTCTTCATGTCTTGATTAAGACCTTGTTCTGACAGACAAAACCACTCTCCCTTCCCCTCCACTCCCTAATCTGTTTCATTGTCATTCTTTTCTTTAGATCCATTGGCTTCTACTTATGCACCACATGGGGTTCAACCTTCTTGTTTTTGACTTCAAGGCAACCATACACACTCCTAGGTAAATGATTTTGATAACCTCTAGACCAGTCCATAAATTGCCAGCTTCCACATGATCTTTTTTTGCCTTTCCTTGTGAGCTTCTGCTTTTCCTGTGTGTAAGCTGAACACCTTCCTTGACACAAACCATCTTCACACAAATGTTCCACTAAATGATCTACTTCTGTCAAAATGTCCAAGGGTAATTAATTGTGTTTTCCTTTAGCATAAGTCTTAGAATTTGAAGTAGCATTCCCTCATTTCCCTGTTCTGTAGGCATCTTAGTAAAACTTAAATTTGACCAACTGACTCATTTCAATTTATTTAGAACTAGAACACTCATTTGTCTTTCAAGACAGATTTTACATAGCCCAGATAATTCCTCCCTAATATATAAACTATGTTTGAATAAAAGGAGGTCTCTGCAATTACTCACAATATTTCAGAAGCAATAAAAACACAGCACCAACAAGCTTGCCAAGTATTACTTTACTACCCCACTCAATTTTGCTTTTCATCCAGGCCACAGGAAGAAAGGGGGCTTGTATAACATCTCTCAGAAGTGACATTTTCTTAGGACTAGGCTTTCAGGTACTTTTGAAAAAATTAAGATTCAAGTACCTACTAGGAAGTCGGAAGACAACAAAACATGGAACCATAGTATTTGTTATATTTTTCCCCACTGCTTTCTTCCATCTCCTCATCATTTGAAAGTCAGTCCATACTTTTTTTGCTCCACACACTCCTACTTACAAGTTTTTTGTTGTTACAGAGACATGCTTAAGTGCAGCTACTGCTGTTCACTGACAGGTATTTTTGGATTTTGATCTAGTTCCTGTTGGAGAGGCATCTTTCACTATTACCACACTTGCAGTAGACAGAAGTCAAGAAGCAACTGCTGCAGAAACAGAATCCTCTTCTCACATGGTTATCAGTACTGGGGCACACATACTTGGCAGGAGTAACATGTGAATGCTTACTGTAAATTGAGGAAAGCCCAGCGTCTATTACTATCATATGCATCTCCCTGAGCCTGAAATCACTTACAGATTAATTAACCCTCTACCCTCATTTCCTATAGCCACTTTAAAACACTGAAAAATTAGAAAGATAAAAATAGATCTTTATCTACCAAAATACCAGGACATTCTAAACATCTTTTTCAAGCCTTCTGAAACAATTAATGGGAATGACTTTTTTTAGTATTAAAATCTTTTAGGAAAACTCTACCATGTGCTTAAAACTCATTTATTCTTCCCCTCCTCAAAAATTCCAAGTAGTTTTAGGTCTCACAGCTAGGTTTTCACATTTTAACAAGTATTTGCTTTCACATCAGGTTGACTGCCCCTATTTGACCCTTCAGTGACACATTAAACAGAAAGTATCAGTCATTCCTGTGGCAAGTTGCTAATGTCACATTTAAGAGTGTTGTGAGAAATAACACTTCCCAACCCCCCACCCCATATCAGATACTGAGCCTCCTTTTTAAAAAAAAAATTCAGATTCCCAACAACCTAAGAAGCATCAGTTTCCTTTACAAAAGCATGACATCTGAAAATAGACATCTTCCAGGCTAATGAAAAAAATTTAATATATAACTCCAATATCAACATATTATTTCCTCAATCAATTCAACAGATATATGCATTACAGCTCAGTGGTTGCTTGTCAAGGGAAGGACCTAGAATTATTCTACAAAAAGCCTGAAACTTAAGATACAAATTTTTAAAAGGAAATAATACATGGGCCTAGAGTAATCTTAACTTCTGAAGTGACAGTAATTCACGCATTCATATCCCATATGAGGGACCATGACAAATTTTACTTTATTTTAGTGTTTATAGCATAAGTATATCCAACAACTTAATGTGCTGAATTACTGAAGTATTATGTGATTTTTTTTTTTCCCCCTCTCCAAATAAATCAGCCTTTAAACAGATAAATTTTTGAGGTACAAAATGTAGTGTAGAGATTAACATCTGAAAGTCTTACAAAATAATAAATAAGCTTGTTTCCTTTCAGGCAAAGTTATTTCTATTTTAAAGAAATTCTGGAATATAAAATACATTCTCTTAAAGAATGCATTCCCCTATCATTTCGTACCCAATACTTTTCTCATACCATAAGGCATGTTTGGAAAAGGGACCATTTTCTTTGTGATCCCAACTAAGATAGTCATGCATATGATGGTTACCTGTTTTTACTAATTGTTTATATAAATACAGCCAAACACCTACAGCACTCCTTTAATCACATGTCTACATTCTGTCTATTAAGAATACTAATTAAAATATGAATTGCAATTTAGTTAGTGAACCAGAAAAAAATTTCCTCATTTATCTAAATACAGACCAAACTTTATTCTGACTGATGTAAGGGTGGAGCTTAGCTAACCCCAAAGAATCAGAAAATAAAGCATATATTTGGAAAAGAAAATTAATCATTGCTGTTCACATAATAATTACATCTCATATAAGGACATGGATACTAAGGTAACATTTATAAACGTTTTTCTTGTAGAGGGCTTTTGAGCTACTAAAATTTAGCTTTTTGCTGCCTTTACACTCTAAAATCAGTTGCTGGTGGTACCTTACTCCCAGGCACCAGAAAAATTCTAGTCCAAGTTCCCAACCGTTATATTTAACAGGAAACGTATAACAAGTATCCTTAGCTTCAAGAGCTATACAATAAAAAAAGTAGAGTTTCAGTAATCCAGCAGCAAATATTCATTGTAATTTTTAAAATAAATTGTATCAACAGACTTTAGGCACAGTTAGGAAAGTCTTTTGGCAAACGCATATACACTTCTATTGATCAGGGATCTACTTCTATTCTGTCAAGGGCACCTTAGCTACATATAGACACACTCCTTTTAAGGTGTCATATTCCTTCTGAACTTCCATAAAGTAACTGTAGAATAGCTGCATACAGCAGAACAAAAATTCTCTTCAGTTTCAGGAATCACAAATCAAGTATTGCTGCTAGAGGTCTTTATTTTCCTTTAACAAAATACACAAAGGCACAAAATTCACTTATATCTTGTCATTATTATACAGATATAAATAGTGCTTTGTATTCAAGTACAATCGAGTGCAGAGACTTTCTATATTTTATGTAAACACAAAACAGTTTTGTATGTATGTGCCTCTGGTTCATCTGCAATGCAAATACCAAAGCAGATGCCATTTATCTGAGTGCCATTTAACTGAATTCTCTCAAAAAGTTAGACAATGAATAACATTAACACCACTGTAATGACACTTCCATAAGCCTAAGTCAAACGTCGGATGATACTTTAGCTTGTAAACATCTGTGTATTCAAAGTGTACTCAATTCATTTAACAGGGAAGCATTAAAAAGTACCTTAAGTTCACTAGACCAAACTTGCTAGGTCAGTTGCTGCCAGTAATTTTTCTTTATGTGTGACAGCTAAAGAGATGTAAAATTATAGGTCACCCTTAGCAAAGCTTATATTTTTAAGTTTCTAAATATGCAAACTGAACGACAGCTACAACTGTTAGACTTGAACCACCTATACATTCTGTTAACCTATACATTCTGTGTTAACTTAAAGACACATGCTTAATTTACAACACCCATTTTTACACATAGCTTTGACATAATGTGGCAGTTGAGGCATTTTAAGCTCAAGTGAGATTTTTAAGTTGTACCATTAAAAAAAGCTCACCTGAATAGTAACAACAGGCATGAACAAAGCTAAAAACTAGCTACAGAAGGCACTTGAAGTACTTTAATCTGCTTTCATTAAAGATTCTTCACTTTGTTCAACTGAAATAGACTCTGAAATAGCGTCTTCACTTGTTGAAACGTTTTCTGCTTCTTCTTTTTCAACTTCTTCAGCTAGCTTATCATTTAGCTTCTCAGGACTTGGTGCTTTACCATCTGTCTCATTTGTCCCAACGATCTGGGCCGTGTCTTTCTCAGATTCTATGAAAAGAAAAGTGATGAAATAACCATTTCCAGAAATGAAAAGGTAGCTAATATTTTTAAAAAGCAAACATAACAACACTTTGCAATCACACACAGGTTTTGACTAGTCAATGCAAGAAGTTCTCAACTGCTAAGAACTATTTTATTTTTCTAACAAGTAGGTCACAGGTAAAGTCTGTAAAGTTTGAGAAAAATGAAAATACTATGGAAGAGTTCAAATCCCACTATGAAAATATTATGTATTATTTGTCTATGTTCACCCTCAACAGAATCTTTTTAATCTTGTTCATTAATGTGAAACAGGATCAGAAACAAGACATGATGGTAATTCAGCTTCCTTGTCCTTGGTAACCAAAGTTTTACCAATTGTATAGCTTTTTCTGTAAGAGTTCAATCTGTACACAGAACCTACACGTTATATTTGGTGGAAACTAGTTTAAACACAAAGAGACAGATAACCAGGAAAAAATAGAATAATCTAGTTCTCACATCTCTAAACAGTCAATGCAAATTACTGTGTATTCTCAATCTTCCCACAGGAACTGTAGAAAGGATATACAGGATATTCACTCCCTCTCTGGGATGGGAGTTTCTTTGCTAATAGACATATTATGAAGACCAGCCATAAATATTCATTGTAAGTACTACCTCTAAAGAAGTAACTTCTAGCTTCACAACAGGATTTCAGTAGCACATGAGAAATAGGAGACAGTCATATTTTGAAGCACCGAAAAACTGTAAGTGTTGCACTAAATGACACAAAGGTACTGCAGAATTATACTACTGATGTCATTATATATAGATTAGTATTAGTCAATGCTATACAGCATTAATGTATACCATGAAGGCAAACAGTTTGCAAAACTGAAGCAAAGTTACAGCTCAAAAATGTTAACTTTATCAGATGTTTGTAATTTCATATTTATCAAAACATGTTAGGTGTCTGAAAGTAATGGGACTACTTTAGGCTGATATTCAGAGAACTCAAGCAGGGCTGAAAGTTTTAGAACTATTGCTCTGGCATCTCCGGTCACAACTGACAAGATCTGGTGCACACCCCTGTTCAGCAGATCTGGTACAACAGCGGTCTGTCACCAAGAACTCAAGACCCCTCTTCCCACCCACAGCTCCATCTAGCTAGTTCCAGGCTCCACTTCAGACTGCCCAGTGCAGCCCAGCTTCTCTATTTCTTCCTTTAACTTGATCTTCCATATTAGCAAGTTTGCAGCCAACTTATCTCCTGATTCAGTTCCCTTCCCTGCTTTCTCAATCACAGGCTGCTCAACACCTGCCCTGTCTTCTTGTTCCAAAATTTCTCTGGAGCCATCTGTCAGATGGTCAATCCTCATACATCTGCCCAAGCAAATTAATGTTCCCAGTTTCTTTCCTGACTATCCCACTCTCTCTTCCTGCTCTTCAATTCCATCTTGACCCCATCCCAGCCTGTACTCAATCTTTATCTCCAAACTGTCAGTTTTCTTTCTGTCTCATCTCTGCATTTTTTTTTCTTCAGCCTCAAATTCTATGAATAAGTTTGTGCCTTTTCCTGCTACAATCCCTCCACACTTGAGTTACATTCCTTCTTTAACGCTGCTGTTCAGGCTGGAGTCAAAGAAAGTATAGGATGTGAGGAAGAGAACTCATTTGTAGCATAGCTCAACCATTACTCAGTTAAAGAGTTTCAGTCCTGCAGCCCTCAACTGAATGATGCTTAGCATTCTGCAGAATTGACTTGTTCTTAGTCTGATCAAGGTAAAGAGACTATTCATGCAGTCTGATCAGGAGGATACCAAATATCTACAACATGTTTGAAGACAGCGCCAGGGACAATTAGCCACTAGTAAAAGCTTCTAATGGAAAGGAGAAAACTTGAGTCATGCTCTAACCATCTATATTAAAAGGAACAGGAGAAGGATGCTGCTTTCATTTTTGTATTCTAAAAGGTATGGAGATTCTGCTTCTCTAATAAAAAATTATCAGGTATTAGATGACTTTTCCCTTTACCTTGCTCTTGATTAAACTTAGTGAAACTCTCCAGAACATACGGCTAAAACAAAAACTTACATGGAAAATTTTGGTCTAATAATAAGTCTGACAAAGTTATAAGGAATCAAATTGTAGGTCCTTTAAAAGAGTAGTCAGGGCAATCATAGTAAGTGGTGCTACTAACTCCAACTATAAACACAACTAATCTTAAACACGTGCACTGATTCAATTTTAAATACAACGATTAATGGAAAGCTTGCCTAAAGTCAGCTTGATCTCAATATTGCATTATTTAAGTTATTGTAAGAGCAGTAGCTAACAAGAGAAAGCTCTGACCATAAACTTTAAAAGATGACAAAAGAAAATGTGTCCTTGATAATTAATACTTAATCCACAATTTAACTGATTAATGTAGCTACACATACATGATCTCAACAGCAAACAGCCCTATGTTGGCCTGAGGCAAATTTCAGAGCTGTATCAATGCAACTTTAAAAAACCTGCTCCTGGCTACAGCAGTTCCTCTTTTCCGCCAACACTCCTGCTTAATGCTTAGTACTTAGAAAGTATATATACTGCACATTGTAACGAGTCAGCTATGCCTCTTCTTGTTGCAGAGAATATTTCATTGTGTAACCAGAAAAATCACAATACTGCTTCACTATTAAGTATAAGATATGCAGGAATTCATAAAAATTCCTGTTATGCAGGAATTCATTAAAAAGGGTATAAAATAATTGCACTAAAATGTAGCTACTTTACTTGTACTTTCAAGACCTTTTAGACAAGCTATCTTCACTATTGCAGCTCCCCATTAGGACAGACTTTCAAACAGTGCCATGTATCTGAAATATCTTTAAGGAACATGTGCTGCACAGTAGTCTGTGTCCCTGGCTTTGATATCACAGAAAGCTGTTGTGAAGCCTTTGAAAAAGACAACTGATAATAGCATAGCATTTGATTCCATGTACCCTTTATTTTCTAGTAAAAAGGCAAGCTAAATTGTTCAGCAAAACTGAACTGTGGTACACTGGAAACAGAATACATTTTTAAACTAAAATAACTTGTTTACAAGTTATTAAACTCAAGGTGAGTTGACCCATGTCTGCTTGAGAAATCATTGTATTCTAGCTATATTATCTGAACTAAGGAAAGAGCACAGTAGGCAGAAACTCTCATCTTTGAAAAGAAATAATGGATTACAAAAAAATATAGAAGGCTCATGCTGTCCTATGAAAGCAGAGCATATTTGGTAAGATGTTAAGCCAAATCTCTGAACCAGAAAATGCTTCCAGTCAATTTAAAAAAATAAAAAATAAATAAAAAAATAAAATAAAAAAAAAATAACCCACTAAACTCAGACCACTCTGAACAGAACAAATACTCAAGCTTATTTCTTAGACCTTTACCATTTACCAGTTTTATTCCTAGGTAAAGTTCCTGCTCCACCCATGACATTTGTGCACAGTCAAGCTCTAATTCTGGCTGAGCTAAAAAAAATTAGCACTCACTTGAAGCAGCATTATTTATGAAGGACAGCATTACTGTAAACCCTTCTGTTGAACAACAAACCAAGTTTCTGCATCTGCCTTTTAAATGGAAGTCCCTCTCAAACATACTAGCAGTTGTTATATTCCAAGCATCCGTAAAAGCGACAGAGTATTAAATCATCATAAGATATTTCATCAAGATGGTCAAGGAATTCCTTCAATCTGGAGACAACATCTGAATCAAGAATGCAGCATAACAGTTCCAAATATAGGCAGGGGTCAAGCGGATAAAAGTGTTTCCTGTTGGTATTTGCAATATGATCCAAACATTAATACTTTTAAGAGAAGTACATAAAAGAACTGATTAGCCTTTGATGAAAGAAAATTCAAGATCAAGCATTTAAGAAAAAGGTAAGAAAAGAACTGAAGTATATTGCTTCATTCTGGTATTAAAATTTCCCAAGTTAGTCTGCTGAACACAGAAGCACGACGTCTGTGCCAGTAATCTGCATCGGATTGACAGCTGATGACTTCACATTTCCAGAGGACTGAAAAATCCAAGGTTCACTGCCAACAGCACTCCCCATAACCATTCTTCAGATCTCTTATCCACAGGAGTTGCATGTAACATGCTTCTCACTGTGTGAGCACACAACTGATACAGAGATTCAGCTCATTTTACTCATTAGTAAAAGTAGCTGACTGGTAAAAAAAAAAATATTTATAGCACTTCTGTATCACATTAGCTTGCAGATTCTTTGAGCTATACAGTTAGGGTTTAAATGAGTTACAGATAAAAGCTGGATCTCCCTGTGTTCTCAACGTTGTGGAGAAGTTGGTTTCCTGATGTGAATGTTTGTCTACATCTGTAAGTGAAGATTTTCTCTATTCTTGCTATGACAGCAGTTGTATTACTGCAGTGAACAAAAACCTTCCTCAGAGCTATACATCAATGATAGCTTCACAACTTAAACTTAAGATCACGGAATATGTTCATTTATTAATAAAGCCTGACTGCCTGTGAGCAGTTATGTTTCAAATTAGGGTACTGATGGAAAATTTGATTTACGGAAAATTCTATTTTCTCACTCATAATAGATGGCAAGTCGCATGCAGTTAATGCACAGTGACAAACTGATAGGGTAGAAGACCCAGTAATAAATTAAGTCTTTTCTACAAGAATCATCTAACTTTAAAAGTAGCGAAGCTACTAACCCATCCTCCACTCACTGAAAAGATTATTAGATCATTTGAGGGCAAAGATTATATTTGCATCATCTGAGTTTCATGCACCTGATTTCAGTCTTACTTTCACGTTAGTAATAGTATTTTCAGTGAAGTAAGAGCACACTACAGCACAGGAAAAGAAACCAACCAAGTTTTCCCCATAATGCACCCACATCAGACCAAACCCAGAGATGGCTACAGTTAGATATGACTTCCCTACTCGTCTCATGAAGCCTTCTCATGACAGAAAGTAAAGGCCAATGCCATTTTGTAGTCGCTGTTAAAGATAAACAAACAGAAACTTTCTTTCTGTTATGCTGACACTTTCCCACAATTGGTGTGTTTCTAGCCTGAATCTCAGGGCTGGACGTTATTCAATAGCTTCACCCCATGATCCCTGTTTAAACTAATGTAAAATCCCATCAAGTACTCAATAGCATATCTAACTGGAGATTCCCTGGTTTGAAATTAGAATTTCTAGAGTTTTTTAAAACACTGCATCTTCCTGTTGGCTGTACACCAGATGCCTACTGTATCTGCAGACTATAAAATGCCTCAAAAGGAACTATGTTAAATTAAAATTGACAGTTTCTCTTTGAACTCCCTGATTTTAAACAAGGCAGTTTTACTAGATTTTCCTGCCCCGAGGAAACCAGCAAAAGGAACAAAGGCAGAAATTCCAACACACCTCAATCAAATGACCTGTTGAATACAGTGAAAGTTAACCACTTCAGGACATACTGCCTTCTTAACTATTTCTATAATTTACTATAGTGCTATTTTCTATCTGTTTATCTGTAACTTTAGAGTGAAAAATTATTTATTATGCCATGATTTGCATTAAACATATTGCCTAATATGAAGAAATTGTAGGGTTCAGGACAGAAGACAATAGTATCAACAAGCTAAGCTAGAAGCAGGGACAAGAAAAACTGAAAGAAATACAAACCACACACATAATGAAGGCAGAATAGAATAGACCAGACTATTTCAGTTAGAAGAGACAGCAACAATCATCCAGTTCCGGTCCAACTGCCTGACCAATTCAGGGCTGACCAAAAGTTAAAGCATGTTATTAAGGGTATTGTCCAAACGCCTCAAACATTGACAGGCTTGGGGCATTGACCACCTCTCTAGGAAGCCTGCTCCAGTGTTTAAGTTCTTCAGTTGTTCTTATTCCTATAAAAAAAAAATCTTATCCAGACAGGGAGCTAGATGACAGGGGAGAATTTCATTAGACATTTTAAAAAGAGCAGACTTCATGAGATTAGCACATACCTTCTGTCTGTTGAGTCTCCTGGGGCTTTTTCTCTCCAGGTTCTAGAGGCTCAGTTTCAGATCGCAATTCTGTAGATTGCTTTTTTTCAAAACTGAAGTCTGGAAGTCGTGGAGCCTGAGGTTTAGTTTTCCTTGCAGGATTCAGGAAAAAGCAGTAGGCACACCTAAATGCTACACAAAATCACATCCAATAAGTAGCCTCACTAATTAATTTCACATTTCATCTTTACTCCTACACTATATTCTGACTGTTCAAAATACTAAAAATAGAGAATTAGGTAAGTGACTGAGTATGAGAGTACCTCCATCAAATTTACACAAGCTGTTCCATATAGCTCCATTTTTAAATTCAGTCTACATTTTGTTCTTAAAAACCTGTTTACTTTCAGCTCTGCTGCACTTATGAGTGCTGCCCACCACTGTGAAAGATTCAAACACAATGAACAAAATAATGCAATTCGGTACCACAAGATGTTGCCATATGGTGGTGTTCTATTCTTTCCTACAAAAGAATTAAGTTGGCAGATAATTTTTTTCCCTTAAGACACCACTTTCCTCACCCTTTGAGTAAAGGGATGCTATGTACTCTGCAAAGTATGTCTCACTCTGCTTTCTGCTCCAGTGGTGCCTAATTAAGAAAAGGCAGTTTTTTGTTCTGGAGAAGTACTGGATACCACTTAATAGTTAAACAAGTATTTCCTCAACCAAGACAAGGGGGGAAGTGTCAATTTCTTGCACAGTTGAATTGTGAACTCACTTGAGCTATGATGACATACAGACTACGTACCATAGGAAACGTTCAGCTTATTCTTATAATGCTGTATATTTACTCATAAAATTAAGCAAAACAAAATGAAACAGAACATTCATCTAAGATTTCCTCATTTCTTAAGCATCAGGCTTACCTTCTACTTGTGATAGAAAGGAGACAAAATAAAACATCTGTGTTCAATAAAGACCTATGTCTGTCTTAAGTTACTGTCAGCCATAAATTCACATATAGCCCCCTAGGGCTTGTTCCCACTCCTTTTCCAATACCTCCCCAAGACCTTCTTGCCAAAGCAAGATTTTGTTTAAGTTCTGGTAAAAGAGGCACACTTCAATGTCAGATAGTTTCTCAGTATAAAACCCTTCTGAGAACCAGTCATAGCCAGTAGCAATTCTCAGGGATGCACTAGAAGAAGCTTATTTCTACTGAATAGTTTTCTACACATAAAATCCTTAGCCTGAAGGTTGCAATAAAGTACTTTTCTAAGTCTTGAAGTTAATCTTCAGACACAGAGTAGTAAGTTACCATAAAACTGTTCCTGTATGAAGTGGTACTTCACAGTGTCAGTTACGTATTTAACTGAAACCAAAATGAAGTATGACATATGTTAGTTATGAAACAAAAGCTAACTACTAAAGAGTCTACCAGATAATAGCTCTTACCTATGTATTCAAACTCCTCCTTCAAAGCCATACCATTGTGAGAAAAACATTGCTGGCATATAAGGGCATACCTAGAAAACATTAATAAGATGTAATTACACACCTTTAAGTAATAACACACTGAAGTGAGATGCATTTTTCTTCAGATATTGACTAATATCTTAGATATTTACTCTTAAAAAGGTAACTTCCACAGTGAAATTATTATCCTTTAAAGCAAATTAAATCTGTATATTAAATAATAGTTTTTAAAGTTGGTTTTAAAACAGCAATATATTCTTATATAATTTAAACCTCATGGTTCAACATTTTTAATATTATCACTGTCAGAAAATAACATTCAAATTAAGTTTAGATTTCACTAGAATACAGACAACATGAAAAGTAACCATGGTTAACCTAGAAGTTCTGATATGTCTGGAGAGTTCTGAAGGCAATCTGAAAGCATTTATAATGGTAATAAAGATTAAGTGCTAAGATATTTTTTAACTCAAAATATAATTCATTCACCCACTTGAACATAGATTTTTCTCTTTGTATCACACAGGTAATACCACCCAAAATGGAAGCTACTTTTGTCAAAATGTTACCATTCTTCCTACAAAGAGATTTCAGGTGAAAGCACCGAGAAGGGGCCATTTCACTATGAAAACTTCAGACAAATTAACTTGCAATTTTTTTAACCTCTGTGTCTAGCTTAAAAAGAAAAAAGGTTAAGAAGCTTCCTATCTCTTAAGCGTTTAGGTATTTCCTTTAGCAACATTTTACCTGTTTTGAGGACCATCACCAACCAAATGTTCAATAACTCTATCCACAACCCCTCTTTCTCGAGGAAGAATAGGTCTTGCTAAAGGAGGGCCTGGAGGATGAAGACCTAGGAAGACACAAACTACGTAAAAACGTTTTCCAACTATATTATTATATATAATCTGATATTTCACTCTGTGTGCTAGTATAATAAAATAATTGCATCTACTTAATATATATGACCATATTTCTAAAGCTGTTATCAAAGAAGTACCCACTGGTTTCTGTGTAATTACTATAGCACATGAGCATGCCCTTAGTGTGCATTCAGTCTACACATTAAACCTGTCCAGCCATTTGGCATTTTGGTAATCCCATGTTTAATGGAAAGTTGGATACTTTCAGATTTGTGCTTACTCAAAGAAGCCAGAAGGCCATTATTAAGACTGTTCACATCCCATGTGTTTAACAAACTACTATCAAAATAAAACTCCACTAAGAACAGGTAACAGTAACAGTTGGTACCACCTTTTTCACCTCTTTACATACGGCAGTTAAAGTAGACCAGTGGCACAAACTTGTCTTTCCACAACGTTTTAAAACACCTGGTCCATTGTACAAAACCATTGCCAGCTGCCAATTTCCATTTATGTAGCTTTGAGTTACGTTTACTTCCCTTTTTAGTCTTAAGATGCTAGGCATAATAAGCAAAACACCATTTGATAAGAAACTAAATCTGAATCATTCATATGTGATGTCTCAAATAACTAAGTATCCAAAACTTCTTCCCAAGGTCACGCTCCTGGCCAAGACACATTTTACACAAGCACGGAGGTATTAAGTTACAGTACTTTCAACAAACAGATACCAGACTGATAGTCTTGAATGTGAGAAAATTAAGTGAGCACTTAGGAAGAAAAAAGAAAAAAAAAATTAAGAGAAGAAAAAAAAAAAAGCCTAAAAACGTATTTCCATAAAACCTTTAGGAATTACATTCAAAAGCCACAAAGCTGGATGTTTTGAGCAGGATAATGAACCAGTCCTTTCAGACCTCTGAAACTGGGACAAAGAGGTCAGCTTCAAGCAACCCAAAGATAAAATTCTGAAATTATGAAATCTGACAGATAAGATTCAGTTTAACCCAATGACAAAATTACTTGTAATAATGCAAAAGTCGTATGCAAGCTCAAGATAGTTAAGTTAGAAAAAAAAAAAAAAAATCACTTAATATTAGCAGGTTTCATACTGAGATAAGCATACGGTAATCTGAACCCATGCAAAAACTGTATTTAATTCTTAGAAGTAAATTCTCAAGGCACAAAAAGGAACCAGTGTTTTCTCAGGGCAAATTCTGTCTTGTAGCTATTCTCTCTATAACCAGTAAAAACAGATATACAAAAGGCATGGCTTAAAAGAAAGGATTTTAGCGGCCACACATTCACCCTTCAATTGTCTTCAATTTGCTGTATGCTTCCAGTATTTTTCTTGGGAAGATATGTTTCACAGAATCCCAATAAACAAAGAGGAAGCTAAAGGGTAAAACAAACTAAACCCACTGTCTAAATATGTAAAAGGGTAAAACAAACTAAAACCATTGTCTGAAGATGCAAAAAGAACTTCTAAAAAATCCAAATAAAGGACTACCAAGAGAGTGGAGTTTGTTAGCAAGCTGAACTAATTCAGAGGGACATTTAATTCAAAGATCATGGGAACAAAACAGAGGACTTCAAGCTTCTGAGAAGACAGATTTAGCTTTCTTGTAGCACCTTAGCTGGGGATAGTACACCAGGACGTGCACAAAATCATAGCTTCCAACACAACTGATACTCTGTCATAAACACATGAACAGAAGGAACATGTAACTCTCAAGTAGAGTATAAACGGGCAAAGACAACACAGCAAGTTTTACTATTTGATAAGCTGAGCCGAGATGGGCTTTAAGTTTAAATATAACATTAAATGCAACTGCCAGCAACTACTACATCAAGCCTTCTTGCATCCCAACAAAGAGGAAGGCAGACAAAA